ACAAAAGAGAAAATCTCAGTTCATGTAACAAAATGAAGATTAAACGAAAATTCGGTGTGACAAGAAACGATGTCTCTGTTACCTCGAAAATATTCAGCTGTGTTTAAACTCGAATGAGATAATTGATAACAATTGATTTATAGGTATTTCTTACAGGAATCTCCTGTTCCTACAGCCGAATTTTCGTTTGATTTCTAAATGACAGGAAACCGAATTATACGAACCGAGTTTTGTCTTTCCATGCAGAGCTGATTGTTAATTCTCTCGAAAGAACCCGTCTTCATACGCTTAATCCCCGAAGCGAACGAGCACGATGCTTTTTACGCGATAAACATTAGTCTAACTGAAGAAAGCGTTGGTAGACGATAGATCTCGAAAGGCTTACGGGGAAACGATCTCATTGATTTTTCCAATCGATTCGAACTTGCTGAGCGTATGTTATATTCGACGCGTTCGCTTAGGGAGACAAGCTTCGCGAGATGTAGAATAATAAATGAACATTATATATACAGAAATATCCGCTATATGTGTATCATATGCACGATTTTGGTTCTGTCTATCGCTGTTCTGATTTCATTATCTTTCTACCTACCTGTCTGAGAAAGAGAAAAATGAAAGAGCGGGAGAGAGAAAGAGAAAGAGAATGAGAGAGAAAAAGAAAATGAGAGAGAAAGAGAGAGAAAGATTTAATCTATCTAAAAAATATATATCGCCTTTCTAGATGAATGAATAGAATTCTACTCCGAAGATGTCGACGTAATTCTCAGATGTATTTTTCAATATGAGGTCAACACTTGGTACAATTTTTATAGTCGAAATTATTATTCGTTATTAGAACTAATTGACTCGAATCTTTGATTAATGTCACTCGTCTTTTCGATATTTCACATTCGATGATTTTTCAATTGTCTCTCGGTGCGTTTCCTTCGGATCACATTCGTCGGTAGAGATAAGTCGAGTTAATTATCGCCGTTTCGCAACCGTGCTGGGCTTTGCACATATAACTTCTCGTTTCGTTTTATCCTTCACTCCTTGTTTTGTTTTACAAAATCCGTGTTCGATCGACGATCATACGCTACATACAAAGGACAAGTAAGGTCTCGAGATTGTACAAAAGCGTTTCTGCGTGATGCACATCTTTACTCTTGCGGCGCAGGAGACTTTCCTCGATCTTTCTTTTGGTTCGTGTGAAGTAAGGCGATGCTGTTGCCGTTGTCTACTGCGTGCAACGTTTTCCGTTCGCCGAGATCGATCCACGATGCCGATCGCTTATTTATTAACTTCGCGAGGCAAAGTGTACACAGCATCGATCAATCGTTAGTTGATTTCCATCGTCAACCTTCATTCACCGATGAACGCTCGCGCATCTCGAAAGTCATTTCGCCGTATATGCTACACGTATATCAGTAATACATTAGGTCATATGTCTACTTACAATGTAATCGAATACTATTTCGAAGGGCATGGGGCAAAAAGGATGTAAAGTCCCTTTCCTAGAGAATTATAATTTACTTGGACTCAATGCGGGAAGATGATCAAATGCGTTCCGGGCGCACGGTTTACGAAAAGAAGCCGCAATATAAAAAATAAGTTGTACGAAAGAAGTACACGACATCTTAAGATATTAAATTCTTGCAGTAGAATAACGTATTTGATATGTTTAATAAATAACCTTTATCTCAGTGCGCTTAACTTTATTAACTCGGTGATATCAAGGAAATCTGACAAATCAGTCCGCGCGGTTAAATTATGATATGACGAATATCGCGAGACAATGACAATTAAGCGAACTATATGACGCTACAAATTATGGCGTTTTCGACGACGAAATGATATTATATGAAAGATAGTGTCGCGAAATAAGCGAATGAAGTCACGGCGGGGGGGACTCACGCTTGAAATTCTGCGTCTCTCGCAAAAATTCTACGTGTAATTATAACGTCGCGTTATCAAACAAAACGGATGACACGAAAGTTCTCCGCAAATACTCTCGTCGCTAATGTGGTTCGTTGAAAGATCAACAATATAACGCGGACTTTAGTCCTCATTTACTCGTGCCCTTCGCGGTAAAAAGCGCCGGCCCACGTGTGTGTGTGTGTATGTATGTATGTGTGTATGTGCGTGCACGCGCTCGTACTGTCGAAACCGAGAAAACGTCGCGCCGAAAAGGATACGACGACGGAAGAATTTATTTTGCGGGAAATTTTCGCGGGCAATTTTCAAAGAAAATACGGAGACTTTCATCGGAAAACGAACGACAAAGGAACGCTTTGGATTGTTATTGCGCGAAGCCCCGTAACGACCGGCAATAATTTTTTTAGTGTTTAACTCTCCTTCTTTCCTCTCCTCCTATCGCTCGTTCTTTACGTGTAAATTTTCACGGTTTATTTATCCTTTCTTTTAGTTTAGTTCGTTCATAAATAGTTTAGACCATATAATTTTTGTCGACGCCTTAGCATATGTCATGTGTGTGTGTGTGTGTGTGTTTATTTAGTTAATTATAATATATGTTTGCCTCCCTAATATAGTACTATAACATTACAGGACTATATACAATCAGAGTAACAGCGTTATCCTTTGTTTTATCAGGTTATTATTATTATTTTAATATTATCCTTAATATTATTATATCATATGTATAATTATAATTAATATTATTCCTCGTCGCTAACCCTAAAATCCTGCCTTTCAATAGACCGGCACGCCCGCGTCGTCGCGCTGTGAGTCACGTGTGTGTAACGTACGAAATGCTTAAGGCGCAGAATACAACCCGTTATATCTCACCGATGACGATTTATTATCATTACGATGGAGAAGTTCGTGAATTCATGGTCAATCTTTCGGGATGAGTGATGCTGAAATACGCGCTGAGATAATTCAGTTTTTTTTCGTCGATGACACAATCGTTATCAATTACTAGTTACACGATTATTACGCGTCCACTGCTGCTAATCGCGTAGTCATGATGACTGATCCGTCTTAATGCAATTCGAACCGTCCGACTGCGAAATCACGCATGTTGATGCCTCCCAAACAAGCGTTTAAAACGAGTGCTGTAAGTACGTCGAAAATATCCTATGCTACATATCCTATTATCCTAATAAGTCCTTTGAGTTTTCGTCGACGGTAACGATATCGATAGAAAGAATGTCGCTTTGGGATATAATGGGTCATTTTCAGTTGTGAAACATGTCTATATATCTGTGTGTTGTGTTTGTGTATGTGTTTATACCTTCGTCATCATTTATATTCTCTGAATTCGAATTACTCTCAATTTATCGCCCGATCGGATTGGCGAATATCGCACTCGTTCTCTTCGTCCTTCCTTTTCCCAAGAGAATGCAAATATTCTCCCTTTTTCCCCCATCTCGTAGCGTTCTCTCGTCTTTTCCTTTCTGAATTTGAGAACTTTCTTATCCCCTATCCTAACTCCCGAGAAGCTTCCTTTTTTCGTCTTCGACTCGACAATAACACGGGACTTCTGCGCGAAATTCCTGGTAACGATCATTCAATTTTTATAAAATCACATCAGCGACTTTATTAAATTCGAGAGCTACGATTCGACTCATAACTCAATCTCCTGTACATATAAAATTTCCCTTACGTGTTATATATTACACGTACCACCGATCAAAATAAGAGTACGAAAAATACTTCGTCAAGTATAAAACGCGTCATTCCTGCGAGGCCTTAAACAATCATTTAACAAACGGTTAAATATTAATTATTAGTTATAGTGAATATGTTAATTGTTAGTAATTATTTAAATTAATTACGTTGTGTAACAGATAATTTATACTAATACTTTGCGTCATGATATCGCTATGCAAATTATGTGCATTGATTTAGATTTACTTTTCGATACTTTGCAATGACTTTGCAAGTTTGAAACAATTATTCGAACATTTGCCAGAGTGTGATGGTAACCATCAGACATTTAAATTTACAACTTATATGTTTTTGCTTCCTTTTTATTCCGGTTACGCAATAGTGTGAGATCAAGTTTCTCAAAAATACTTCTCGGTGCGGTATTTGTCGCTCGATCATACGTTTCAAATCGTCTTGAGTTCATCTTGAGACGCTATGTAGCCAATGAAACAACTCTTATACAGTATCTTAAGACAATCTTAAATACAAGATCCGACTATGAGTAGTTTAATTTTTGGTATCTTACGACGAGGTGTACAGAATTGACGAATTCAAGCCGGAGAGAGAAATTATCGTTTTCCGTTCACGAGTCTCTTTCCCACCCCCGTTTTGTCTCACCCCGAGTAAACGTCCGCGCCGGGACGAGACGCGGTAGCGGTCGATCCGATCAATTAGTCAGATTACAAATTAAGCGATGTTTACAAGTTACCATTAAATTATTGCACATTCAACGAACGATTACCGTTGAGTCCTCGGATGCCGCGAGACTCTCTTTCTCTCATTTTCTCTCTCACGAACGCTATAGCAGCCTTTAGGGACTCGTTACGTTCTACTTAATTACGAGCTAACTCTCTCCCTCTCGTCGTTTCTCTCCCTGTTGTGTTTTCATATTACATATGTACGTGTTCGTACGTATACTTTGTGTTTCGTGTGTGTATTTATACATAATCATGCGAATATACGCGACGGATGTTTTCACTTCCGTCTCGTATCTTTCTCTCAATAATCCTTTGACGAATTTAGCTTGCTTCTCGCGTTAACAATGCCAAGTTTCTCAACGGTTTCCAGTTTACGGTTTCGAGAAATAACTATAACTCTGTGTTTGATTTCGAGCGGATGTAATCCGAACAAAATCGTTCAATTGAGATATATGGCGTTAAGAGTGAAAAATTGTCTTGTAAAATTGGCCAAAGGATTCACGGCCGAGAGAAACACAGTTGCGAAAACGGCGCAACACCTTCTTCACGCGATTATTCATTTATTTATTCATTTCTTTATTTATTTATATATATATTTTTATATATCTATATATATATATATATATATATATATATATATATATGTTTCTCTCTCATTAGTGCCTACTTATGGTTAATTAAGGAGGAATGTAGTCGTAGTGGTCGTGTTGGGTTGAGCGAGATAAAGAATCGTTCGAGCTAGCCGGCACGTTCATCGTCCGGGTGTCCGACTGACAACTATAACGGGAGGCCCTAAAATCACGGCACGGCGAGAGAGTCGTAAGTCTCCTCATGCGTCGCTCGGAGTTTGATGATTACGATACTAGGCCCTTCGTCGCTAAGATGTCCTTCTCAAGGTGAATGTGTATGTGGGTACGTTTTATATGTGTGTTTTCGTGCGTGTATGCTTGTGGATATATGTCTCGTATATGTATGCTTATGTGTGTGTGTGTGTGTGTGTGTGTATGTCTATGTGTATGTCTGTGTGCGTTTCTGTGCGGACACTCAATATCGTCGCGTCCTCGATTATCTCTCGGTATAATAAACACCGCTTAGGCTATTGTTCTTAGGCGAAATTAAACGCTTAACTTCCGATCTGGTTAATAGACTTCGGTGGTACGCTCGGTTTATAAATACGCTTCGAGTGTCCATCGGGCAGTGGCGTCGACGACCACACGTGCCATCGGCGATCGCCCCGCGTTCGCGCGCGCGCGCGCCTCCACGTGGAACCGCGGACGTACGTTCGTATGTTCGTTCGTACACGTCGGGACTTCTCGTTACCGGGTCTCACATTCGTTCCGAGATTCATGAGCGACGACGATCATACGGTAATGCATCCGTGGGCGAGTCGCTGGAAAGAAAGACAAGAACGCAAGTGACACACACTCAGAAGAGAATCGATACTTGTGAGATATTTTGTCAATTGACACGTTATATTAAATAAATGCCGGTAACAAATTAAGTTCTCCAGGAGAACCATATTCGTCGTGTACATCTCGCGAACTTCGCGCACGCTACCTCGCGACGATGACTCGGGGGTTCGCGTTTCACGTCCTGTGCTTGGGGGATCGTCCGCCCCGCGTAATTCCGCGAGAACCGACTCAGTTGTTATAAAAGCGCGTGACGAATTTGTCGAACGGAAGAGTGGGTGTGCCTTCTTATGATCGTGAATTCGCACGCTCTTCAGCGCCCGCTGAAATTCAACGTCGAGAGAGGATTAATCACTCGGCGCTCAGACGGAAGCTCGAGATCCGTCGGCGTCGCGCGCTTTAGCCTTCACCCTGTTCAACGGTTTTGGCACGGGCGAACGGCTCGTGCGAATCCTCCTCGGTACCAGTGGCCTTTTAAGTACAGTGTTCGCACAAAGTATACATGTACGGACGCTCGTCCTTCCGACTACTTCCGTTAATCGCGCGCTTGGCGAAGGGAGACGACTTTTGTACGACACCAAGAGGTCACACGATGCGTCCCGGCGACGTTGATAATACAAATTGCAATTTCTCGACTATTCCCACCGATCCCGTGAAGCAGAGACGCGCCGAGTACTCTCTAAAATTGTTGTCCCCAGTGAAATCCCGCTCAGAAAAGCAGAGCGACGGCTTGAGTCACCTCGAGTGACTTTTCGCTCGATATTGAGCGAATCCACCGCTCTTGAATCGTCGAGTGAATATTTCCGTTCGAAGCTGGAAAGTGATTGCGACGTGCGCTCGTCTGCAGAACGGTCCGAACACTTTTCCACCGAACTTTGAAACCCAGCTGACGTCCGATGAAAACTGACGTCCAGTGAGGGAGAATTTTCTCCCTCGTGTACTAACACGTTTCGAAAATTTCCAGGTGGGCTCCCGCGGGAATCCAAGGGAACTCATATGAATCCATATAGGATATTCAAAATCCATATAGGAATCCGTGTGGAATCCACCTAGGACTGGGGTTTTCGACCCAAGGCCTAGGGACACGGGATTTCATGTGAATATCCTATATGGATTCCTATTTCTTTTAACAGATAAGGTTCTTTCATTGGACGTCAGATGCATCTCGAAACGCGTCGAAGGGGAAGTAAGTTCAAATCGCTTCGCAAATGAGTACACAAGAAGAGATCCGGAGGTCGATCATGAGTCATTTTCTGTATCGTGAACTCGTGAAAAGTGAGAATTCTCCAGCTTGAAAGCATTTATTAATTTATTGAGAATATCCGGGGAAAAAAAGTTTTCCCCTTTTTACAAGAAAAAAGGAAATACGAAAATATTACACTTATATCTAGAGACGACATAATAAAAACATTTGGATTGATATTCAATTTTCACGAGTTTACGCTGAGGGAAAAGATTCGCCTCCGATCGTCTCCCGCCGCTTCTGATCGACTGAAACTCCTCCGCTCGTGCGGATCAAGAATTCATCCTGAGTTTCAACGAAACATTCACCGTTACGATTCGGAGAGGCGATACTTCCGATGTCGCTTCGAGTGAAGCTCTCACTCGTTTGCGAATGCGACGTGATTCTACGAAATTTAGAGAGCACGATTATACGCTCTATCATCCGTGGTCGCGAACGGCGAGCGAGCTCGCCCGGCTTCTAATTCGCGACGGAAATTCACCGCGACGCGTTGTACTGGCGACGAGACGCACACGCGCACGCACACACGCACACACACATACACACTGTGAGTTACAAAGCCACTGTGTCCCTCGGTGGCGCGGTCCGACGCCTCGTTTCGAGCGCCGTGAATCGAGCATAGCAGTCCTCGCGGGGGGTGGCTGAGGATAACGCGAGGGGACCGGACCGAGCCGAGCCGAGCCACGGATCCTCAGATCCCCGGAGGCGAATCCCTCCGGAGGTAAGGTCGCGCCTATCCTACTACCCTTAAACGTTACTCTCTTCAAGCGTAACTATTTTATCGCCAGACACGCGCTACGATGATTGTATATGCTCCGGGGCTTCTCACGTCGCCAATATTGTCGCGGGATATGATCCTCCGTATGGCGGTTGCTCGATAGTGCCAGCGGACACCCGCGTCGCCGTCGGCGTTGGCAGCCGATCGGCAGTCGGGAGTGTTCGCTCAGAGATCGCCGTTATCACCGGTGCATTCGCGAGAATCATACATATATCGTACACGGTAGAATATAGTACATACGTTTTTTTTCTTTTACTTTTATATATATATATATATATATGTATATTATATATATATAGAGACGTCACTCTCTGTATCCTCCCCTGGTCGGGAATCAATTCCTTACGACAAACATACGTCTCGCCCCTGCTTCGCTGCCTCTTACGTACACAGTACATACAAGTTACGTGTTTAGCGGAACATCAACAATTTACTTTATAAGGCCCAAACATTGTGCGCTACTTGTTCAATAAAATACGCGAAAGGAGTTCTGCGAAAGCGAATCTGCGCCCTCGGTTCGCTCGATCATGCTCGATCCACGGAGGACGCGCGACGCCTTCGCTCGACGACCGGTGCTGAGGAAGGTGGAGTCGAGAGACGCCTCGGCTCAGAACTTTCAGATATCTCGCAGCCGCACGGAACAATTCATCATGCTCCTTACCACCGCCTCGTCGTGATACAGTAATTTACCGAAGAGTCGTTATTATTCACTTTGCATTTATGTGCTTGCGAATTTGGACATTTTCGTTATATGAAAGTGTACGCGGGAAAAGTACTGTAGCAAAAATTACCATACAATTTTGCTGGACCATACTGGAATTATGATTGAAATTATTATGCGTGTTTTGGTATATTCGCGTAAACTTAGTGATGAGCATACATGAAATATATCACTAAAGATTACAACATACATCATTATTTCAGTCGCAATTCCGGTCCGATGTGTGGAGAAGTAACGTACACAATATGTCCGTATTGTTTGTACGTGTCGAGAGATTCTGTTCAAATATTTACTGACATGTCACTGAGCACCAAGCGCGATGCGATAAAATACACGGAATGACAAGATGCGATAAAATACACGGAGCGACAAGAGCGAGAGCACAAAGCGAGATAATGATATTTTCCAAGTCCGCGATCATTGTTGCACCTGTGTAATTTCTCTTTTCTTTAGATAATAATGTCTTCATTTCATCATTGCCAAAACGTTCCGTAAATATTACGCAACAATATTATACGTGTGAGAGTCATAAAAAAATAGCTCCCGACTCTCCGATGTATTATTTCAAATCTGACCTCCGGAAATTCCACATATACGCATTGTTTTAAAGTAACAACCAAGTTCTGCCATCACCTGCATGCGTGATGACATTCGAAAAGGTGTGCAAATCTCTCGAGATTTCTCGAGAAGCGATATATGAATTGTATATGATATATATGTGATAAGAAAATGAGACACGGAAGTGCGACGTTCAAAGTGCATCTGATAATGAACTTCCGAACTTTCGCGTATTTATTTTTCCAGGTTCAAATTCACCGACTTGATAGAGCCACTTATACATAATATTTGCGATTCAGATTGTCGGACAATATATCGCTCACTTTCTTTCTCTCTTCCCTCCTTCCTCTCTCGCAGCGATAGTCTCGCGATCGGCGCCGCGTCTCGACGCTCGTCTCGCAATGGCGATCAAGGCGAAGATGACCGCAACTCTCGAGCGAGCGACTCAAGCGGAAAAGCGAACGTCCTGGACGCGCACGCGCTCACCGTCTTCTCCGTCGGAAATCCGGCCCGCGGCTGCTCAAAGTCCAGACAGATCTCGACGGTGTGTCGGTTAACGGCGGATACGTGACCTCGCCCGCGACTCGATTGCGCGAGCTCGACGGCATCGGCGATCTCGATCTTAGGGTATAGTATCTAGAGCCTAAGGACTAGGGCGAAGGTCACAGCGACGATTGTTGGATCTAGCTCCGTTGATGAGGTGACCACCGCTCCTCGAGGTTGCCGGATTTCGCGGGAAACGGAAGCAGGAACGAGTCTCCCTCGTGGCAGCGTGGCGGACGTCGACCCTCCGCGATTGTCCAGTCGATCTTCTTCCTCCTCCTTCTTCTTCTCGCTCCATTTTCTTCCTCCTCCTCGCGAATTGTCGATCTCGCCTCTCACTCTCCCGGCCGACGACACAGACGGACGACGCGCGTCGGGCGACACTGGGAGACCCCACGGGTCACCCTAATGCGGGACGATATCCCTTCTCCACGCGCTCTAGGATACCTTGCCAAGTGTGTCGGGTTCTTCCTTTTCTATCTTCCTCTAGATCCACGGCCCTCAAGTGGCGCTGTCGAGGACGACGGACTTCCTGCTGCCCCTGCGACGACGCTCGACCAGTTGGCGTATCTGCGCGGCGACGTTAGCGGACAACGGGCCGGAGGACTCCTCGATCGCCGAAGTGGCCAGGAGCACCGCGAAGGTCGGTGACGACGATAACGAGGAAGAGGAGAAAGCGTCGCCGCGGCGACCGATGGCGCTCCTCGATTTGCGTCGCGACCTGACTCCGGCGAGCGCCGCATACGGTGTCCTCGTCGTCGCCGCCGACGACGCCGAGGACGACGTCGTCCCGACGGGCTGCTGCTGGTGTCTCGTGCCTGACGGTACTTGCTGCTGATGCGACCTGCCGCGACGGTCGTCTCCCTGTTGGACTCGTAGCGTGGCGAGCGAGACGTGCGGGCTCGCGCGAGGTTTCCTGAGGTTGTCGTTGCTGATGCTGGAGGATGACGAGTGCGGGAACGACGAGACGGTGGAGGTGGTGCTCGTGGCGGTGGTGTCGGTGGTGCGTGTGGTGCCGGATGTGCCGGTGACCGCTGATAAATCTGTTTCCGGTGCACTGTGGCCCAGCGGCAACCCCACAGGGTCCGATGGATGGCGTACGTGAGGCTCAGGAGTAGCGACTGGAGAACGTTGCTGCTTGTTGTTGCCCACACCGCTAGCGCAGCCGTAATCGTAGCTGCAGCAAAGCTGCCCGTCCTACGGAGAGGTTCGTGGGACACTGGGTTAGCCACGGCGGCGGGAACCGGAGCGGGGGGTGCGTTTTGGTTCATGGTCGTCTTGGTTCATCGACTCCGGGTCGGAAAGTCTCGAATGGCATGATACATGTGAGAGATACGCGCGATGCTGCCGCTGGCGTGGTAAGCACCATTTATACGGCGCCCAGTGGATGAGGGAATGCGAATGTATGCGACATGTGTGCGAGAGAAGTCTTTCGAGAGAGCTGGATGTTTCCAAGCCGAGAGATCAACGGAAAGCTACTTCTCGATCAGAGTCGTGTCCTCTGCGACAATGAAGTGACAATGTGCTCGATTCATTTTCTAAAATGTACACCTAGGGACTGTGACTCGTTCCTTACTAGATCTAGCGGAGTAAGCCCAGAAGATATTGATCCTGTCCCGTGTAAAAGAATCATCACATATACCTCGTATCAGAATACGTATTGAGGATTAAAAATTGCGAATTAGAAATCAGAATTCGACGATAGGGTGGTTTCGACCTTGACTTCCCGATTAGTGAAATTTCAATTTTCAATAGTCTGATATCATTTTTACGCGAATATTTTTGCTGGCTAAAACAAGACTGATATTTTTTCGTTCGGATCTTTTGGACTAGATCTAGTCGGGGACGAATTGTTGTTCATGGGTGTACGATGTTGGAATTCGAATTGTACTGGGATTTACGTAACAGATCTCTTCACGGAAAGATGCTTTTCTTTTCTTACTTCCCACACGACGTTAAAGAGGAAATTGCTCGAACGTATCTATTTGGAATAATGACGGTGTATTTTGCTTCTCACTTTACACGAATCTTTCTCCGAATACCGTCAAGTGTCAAGGACGCTGGCGCTCTGCTCATCCGCCAGTTTACATTTGCGATCGATTATTATCTGGCACGCCAAGACTTTCCGACCTGCAGTGGAGAGAGGCAGGTACTTGTCCACATAGTATGTAATTCATTGTTTCGTAGAACAATACCGCAATCGTTCCGCCGTGGCGATAATAAACCAACGTGCAAATCCGACCCCCCGAGACCGTTTTACTTCCCTTGAAACTTCCCTTGTCGGCGTTCCTCGCCACGCCCATGTCGGCGGCGACCTTTTCTTTCGGTCAAGAAGACGACTTGCAAGTGGTCATGATCACAATTACAATACTGTAAGGACACTCATGCTGACATTCGAAAGGGGGGGTGGGGGGGGCAAAACAATGAATTTCCATAGTATGTCTTCCATACCTGGCGACAAATTTCTAAGTTTCTACTACTTTCCCGCTACGATCCTGGCGAGTCTTTTGCTGCGTCACGATGTTTGTTCGATCTCGAAACTTACGAAATCACGCTCGTCAGTGTAAAGTTTACGCTTGAAATACGAAATTCAACTTCGCGGCCAACAACAACAACGAAAAGTCGCCTTGCCAGAATCGTCGCTCGACAAATCGATAGATAGAGAGAGAAAGAGACCTCTTGGTGCTTCTATCGAATCTCGAATGCAGATCAGAGGAGGGTGCAGTGGAGGTGCGACAATTCGATTGAAAAGAAAAAAAAAAGAAAAAAAGAACCAAGAAAAGAGAGAGACACACAAACGTACACAATTGCATTGAGTCTAAGGACACCGTTCGTACGTGTATGTTTTTTTGTATGTGGTCACGTATTCTGTGTCTGTTGTATATACATATGCGTATCGTCTATGTGACATTTGTATACATGTGTCTGTGTGCTTGTGTCGCGTTGGTGCGCTTTGTGCGGCTGCCGCCTCGTGCGCCATGCTCCTCGATCGACACGAGAAAGACCCGCCGGCCGAACGGATCGCCTTCTCTTTTATCTTTTTGCATGAACGACCGTGCGTCTCAGAGTGTGCGTAAATCATAAAGTGAATATACTGGGGGTAGTGCGTAACGTGGTCGATTGGGGAGTAGGAGGAGTGCGTGTGGGGTGCATCGACGCATGCAGATTTCGATTTAACGTGCAGTCGGCCGTTACACGGGCGAGTTAACAAGGAATACATTGTATTCTCGTCCGGTCAGTCGACGAATTTCGTATCGGTTTGACGGAACACCGAGTGACGAGAAAAACTCGTGAAAAAAATTGTTTCCCGCGATATCACACGGAGAAACAAAGATCGGTTGAATTAGCGTGACAATGAACAAGCCGAGTGCGTTTTCGTTGTAGGAAACAGAATTTCTGATCCTAAGAATCGAACTTGGTTCATAAAAATTAGACATTCTGTTTCTTTCAACGAAAATGCATTTGGTTCGTTCAGCACGTTAATTCGATCAATCTTTTTCTCTCCGTGTATGTATCATGTACAAACTGCTCTCTTATCAATAACAGAATACCCGTTTCTTTTGAAAGCAAGAAAGTCAAATTAAACAATTACTTGCTATGGGGTTTGATTACTTACTATTATGTTACTTTTGATATATATTCTCTTATTTCCAAAATTATACGTCATTTAAATGCATCTACTGTCGTTTTCATGCTTCTTATATTTATAAAGTGATATAAAACGACGAATCTTCAAGTGAGACGACACCATCCGCTTTCCGACGAGGTCGTGGACGTCACGTCAAGAACACTTTTCCTTCGAACGCGAAGTTCATGCTCCGTGCTCGCGATACATTTACGTGTCGATTATCAAAGAGAAAAGAAGAGATAGAGAGAGAGAGAGAGAGAGAGAGAGGTGATAAAGCTTTCGGTGACAAAACGTGCGGCGATCAACGTAAGAGATCAAGTCTTAACGTACAGGACGTCAAAGAGAAGAAACGGGCCGACAGAATAATTACAGTATCGAGCGTATGTGCGATTTAAAGATTTCAAGGGAGCGAGAGCGATAGACAGAGAGATTATTTGAGGAAAAAAAAAGACAGAGAGAAAACGGTGAAGAAAGAGACACAAGCCAGGAAAAGAAATACGCCGGAGCCGTTTCTAAAGCAGGCGGGACGGGGACGAAGAAAGCACTCGAGCACTTCGTTTAGTCGTAGTACATTAATCAGCAAGAAAGACAGAAGAGAAGAGGCAGGTAGTAGAGATTATAGGTGAGGTAGAAGTGACGTGATTACCGATGCACACAACACGCGCTATTGCTCACCAATTGGGCGCAGTACGGCACCTGCAAGGATACCCATTGTTAGGCTATGAGGTTAGTCACCACGGGCAAGGTGGCGGGGTTAATTTACAGCATACGATCACAGGCAGACAATGCTCTCCCCCGTTCGTGATCCTCCTTCTCATCTCCCCCTCCCACCC